ATGATCAGGAAGTATGATTTGACAAGTTATTTCTTTAAATGTTCAAGGAAGTTCAGATCCAAGTCTGAAGTAATTATACCCCTGCAGTCAAGGGGAAAATAATCATGAAAATACAGTATTTATATATTTTGGAAAGCTTGAGTATTTGACTTACAAATGCCTTCTCTTTCCAGGCAGACTATGAATTTATCAGTTCTGGGCTTTACCTTGTAGTATTGTTGCATTTGTGTGAACAGCGCTTTTCAGATATGCTGGGAACTACAAGTGAGGCCAACACACGTATCCGGGTAAGGGATCTGACTTGTTCCTGTAATAGAACCAGTTTGTTACTGTGATTAAAGCACATTCCATCTCTTTCAAATATAACATGTGCAGAACCAAAAGAGCCTAGTTTCAAATGGGCCCTTTCTATTCTTCTTCCTGACATTCTGCATGGCCTCCCAAATTCAAGAAGGTCAGCTGTTCCTTTTAAAACCATTTAAAACCAAAGCAGTGAAAGGAATGTGGCCAGAGAGTAGCTAGATGTGTGCTGTGTTGACACTCACGCTTTCTGCTTTTGGGGTTCTTTGAGTCTTTATATAGCTAAGGTAACACCTGCTTCAAAAAGGATGCTGGGATAGACAACAAGGCAAAATGGGTTTTGGATATCTTACTGTAATCTGGCAACTATTGGCTGACTTACTGACCTTCTGAAAATAAAGGAAAGGCTGCCTTCCATTAATTTGTTCTAGTCTTAATTTTCTAAGTCCATTTTCTAAAATAAGAACATCCTTGTTTTTGTTTGTAGTTATACAGATAGTCCCTGACTTACAGTCCATTTAGTGACCGTTCAAAGTTACAACAATAGTGAAAAAAGTGACATGACCATTTTTCACACTTATGACCATTGCAGCATTCCCACGGTCACATAATCAAAATTTAGATGCTTGGTAATTGACTCATATTTATGACGGTTGTAATGTCCCAGGGACATGTGATCACTTTTTGCAACCTTCTGAGAAGCAAAGTCAATGAGGAAACCAGATTCATTTAACAGCTGTGTTATTATCATAACCAGCAGAGTGATTAATTTAACAACTGTGGCAAAAAAGGTTATAAAATAAGGTAAAGCTCACTCAACAAATGTCTCACTTAGCAATAGAAATTTTGGGCTCAATTGTGGTCGTAAATCGATAACTACCTCTAGTTATTTTTGTTGTCTTTCTCATTTTCTAGCTCCTACATATTTATTTTGAACAAGTAGGGAAAATGTATGTGGGGATATTTTTTTACTTATATTCTGTTCTTTTTTTATATAATGTATCCCAATCTGCAACTAAATTTTTAAGCACTTGGTTCTTGGAAATGATGAAATATGCAAAAGTGGATACTTTTCCTGTGCGTATTTAACTGAATCTCCTTTGTAATATGTTCCAGCCTATTAGAACAGCAGCAGTTTAAGAGCTTCCTTGAATTCTTGATCATTTAGAAAATGCCCTTAATATTTATACTCGGTTCTTAAATAGTTCTTTTTTATATGGTGGAGGTTTAAATACTCTTGTGTTTAACTGAATGGCAGTTGATTGTTGATTTTGCTCATTTGTCAGCACAGGCTAAAACCTCCAGGAGAGTTTATATTCAAAACATTATCAAATCATGCACCATTTTTCTTTCACATTCCACAAGCATTGATTCAGTTGCATGCAGAAAATATAATAAGTGAACCCCAGGGTCACAGCCATTCTCATTGCTGCCTGGAATCTTCTCTACTTTAGAAGGACTAAATGCATTTATAATCCCCCAGTTCATATGTTTTTACATAAGATTGTATTCCTGGAGACAGTCGGGACTGTTCACTTACAGGTGAGAAGGGAGGAATTCGTGAAGATTTTAATTGTGGTATTGGATTTTAATGGTGTAAGGTCCTGTGGTGATTTGCATCTTTTAAAACTGCCTTTTTGCATTGCTTCTAGTTTATTAATCTTGCAAGAACTCTTCAGGCACACATGGATGATATGGAAAGTAGGTGATTTTACTTCTAAGTTAAAAAAGGGATAAAGTACAGCCTGTTCTTTTATGTAATATTAAGTACCAAAATATCTGAGTTGATCTGCAGTTTTCAGATACAATTAGAATAAATTGTAAGGGCACTTGAAGAACTCAAATCTGGTTCCTAAGGAAATGCAATCCAATTACTTGTTTCAAAGTTCCCTGCACTTTATTCTCTGAGAAAGTTTGAAGGGTAAAACTCACCATGATATGCATACAAACATTTATCATTAAAAGAAACAAAGTGATCCACTGAAATTACTAGTTAGTCTTGATCAGTTTTTATATACTTGTTGACTCAAACATGTGAACATAGACTTGCTTTCAGGTAGGCATTTTGTTCAGCTAAAAATCTCTGAAGTATAGTCTCTCTCTAATAGGAATCTAATTATCTTTTGTGGAATGAATATTTTTAATAAAACATCTTATGGGGTGATGTCTGTTTGAGGTAGTCCCATTTAAGACATGGTTGCTGATATAGCAGTTATAATGAATCCTTGTTACTGCCAACCCATTTTTCTCCTGCCTCTTTAGATTATGTGTACATTTGATGTCTCTTTCCTGTGCATCTTACACCTAAAGGCCTCACATACATATTCTACTGTTCATTACTTAGGTAGCTCTTGTTAGGATGATGATAAAAGAAACTAAAATAATCTTTTGTGAATGAACACTGTTTATTTGTGTCCATAAAAATTTTCCTTGGTGATATATCATTTTTTTGTTCCCTGTTCATACATATATAGGTATTTAATAGAAAACTCATTTATTTCTTTGGTATTATTTACTCCATTTATAAATTTAGGCTTCCTTTTAAGGACATTTTGGGATTTTGGCCATTCATTTACACTAGCTACATCTGGATTTTTGCTTTAAAAGGGCATTTACTCCTTAGCACATTTATTCCATAATAATCTTAACCATGTAATTTAATCATACTCTTTCTGGAAAAAGAAACCTTGTTAGTCCTTTTGGTATTGAAGGTGCCTGCTAAAGTTATTTATATTTTGCTATTAATATATCTGTACTTGCTTATTAAAACCAAGGCAAAATCATACACGATATGAAACACTTTATTGCCTTGATAAAAAACTGGTCTTTTATCATTCTTAATCTAAGCAGCTGTTAAAACAAAAAACAAACCATTCCTATAGGTTCCTAATATATGTTAAATTGAAATGATGGGCAGAACAGTATTGTGACAGTTCACAAGTAAGTGTCTCCATTTTTATAGAGGTATAGTTGTTAGAAGGTATACAAGAATTTCAATAGTGGGCTCCCATTGAGAATTATTAAAATGATACCTACAGGTAATTGCTTTACATATTTTTACTTATTTTCTTTATCCTTTTCCTTCCTCAAATTGCTTGTTAAAGAAACAAATTTTGATTTCCTTTTACATTAATGTGCTTACTAAAAGCAGTATACTTTAGCATAAGTATACATAGGTGCATTTTGATTTTTAGTTTCAGAGATGTTAAGTTAAAGTTGTACATAGGTATTAGTTTAGGGAAGCACTCCATTATGAAGCACTGAGTTCATAGATACATAAATGTGTTATAAATGAGATGCTGTGTCATATTAAAATAATGTCCTTGATTTTAAACTTCTAGAAAAGTTTCTGATTATATTCTGTACTTCCAGCAGCTTCAGATGATGATGATGATGATGATTCTGAAGATGGTGATCTCGATAGGACCTTTGATGCTGCATAGATGGTGTGGAAGGGCTAAATGCTCAGCTGACACAAGTATCACCAGTTCACATTTATTTAGTAAACCATGCTGAATTTATTAGATTTCTGAAGAACTGCTGAGTCAAACAGAAAATCTGCTATCCATAGATAATGGATATTGTTCATTCAGTCTGCAAGAGTATCTTTCTTCTTTCAGAGTATGACGATGTATGCCTTCTTCTCAAGGGTGTGATTTTTATCTGTAAGGAAGAGTTCTTTTTGTATAAACTTCTTACAGAAATTGGTTATAAATTCTGGGAAATGTTTCTCATGTTTTGCTCTTCTGCCGGCACTAAGTGGAACTGTTAAATGAGTTTGCAAGTTCGAGTCACTGGGAAGGGAGGGGATAATTCTTTGTTAACTTACCACTTAAAATATATATATATTGGGAAATCTCACCATTTTGGTTCCAGTGTTAACACCTAGGTTGAATGAGGGAGTGAATGGGTTCTGTAATTAGTTTTAAGTTTCTCTGGAGGAGTGTTTAACTCAAAGCAATAAACTTGCAAGGGGCTACTAATAAGTGTTAATTAAGGCTTTTATAAGTATTGATTTCAAAACTGCAGATTATATTTGATAATATTATGTACAAGTTCCAATAAGGAATTACAGCAGTAAACACAAGCATTTCAGCATTCCCGGAAGGAATAAAACTTATGGTTTAAAATCTTAACCAAGCTATTTATCTGAATGAACATTTTTTTAGAACCCACATTCACTAAGGCACTGGTTATCAATGTGTTTTCTAGTGTTGTCACTTGTTTGTTAAATAAAGATTGCAATCCTATGGTTCGTCTACCTCTTTAAAATAAGGTACCTTTTAGAGCCTAAGTCATACCCTCATAGGAATTTTGTCTGGTTTAAAATGTCAGTGCTGATTGAATCTGTTGGAGTGAAACAATAAACGGGGTTAGGTTTTCTGTGTTGCTCATAAGACTAATGTTTTCTTTTAGGGGACCTCTAGTCCCGGTGATTTTAGGGCTGCATCCATACAAGTTTCCTGGCAACCATTCAGAAATGACTTGCCATATTTTCCAGGAATGCATGATCTGAAAACGATCCCTTTAGAGAGAGCATCCTTTTCCCGTTACATGAATACAGGTAGTCCTTGGCTTACAACAGTTCGTTTAATGACCTTTCAAAGTTACAGTGGCACTGAAAAACAAGGCTTATGATAGTTTTTCACACTTATGACCTTTGTTGCATCCCCATGATCATGTGATCAAATTCAGTTGCTTGGTGATTCATATTTATGACGGTTGTTGTGTCCTGGGGTCACATGATGACCCTTAGCCCAATGGATCATTTCAGTACAATTTTCATAGGAAAACAGTGGGTTGTTTGTTTTTACTTCAAGAAAGGAGATTAATGACTTGGCAAACAATACCAACTTTTCCAAATCCATATAGGTATTTTTTACATATTCATTGCTTTAAAACTGCAGTGTTTGTGTATCTTCTACTGTTAGCTGCTGTTTTTTGAAGTACTGGAATAGAGATACGAAGACCAACCTTAAAGAGAAGTTAAAAAGGAGTGCTGCTGGGGGGGGGGGGGGGGAAATTTGGAAATTGCTCCCTATGAAGGCTGGTGCCTCGTTTTGGAAAAAAAAATGTAGGTGATTAGAGCCAAAAAAATTAGTTACAATGTTCTGAGCTACATTGTTCTACATTCTCTTCCATTCTGTTTATGAAAAAAATTGACTAAAATTAATTTAGGAGAGATTAGGGGGGTCATTAGACCTGTTTAACAAATATGATCTTTTCTCTGGCACCGAGAGGCATTTAATTATTTAAATTATAAAGGTCAGCTAGCACAGTAAAGATGTGATACACATATTCAACCATCCAAATGATTATTTTGATGTAATGCTTATTCATATAGAAATATATGTATTTATACTTTAACCTAATTGTGACCAATGCTAGATAGATTTCCGCCTGCAATATAACATGAGGCAAGCATTGAATAATGTTTAAGCAGTATCTTATTCAGCCTCTTGTATGATAAGCAGTAATTCCCAAACACTACACTCTCAGTAATTGATAGCCTAATTGTAAATACTGACTTGCTTTATGTATGCAATTCTAGAAAGGCCCATTTTAGTTACCGCTTTTATTTGAGCTCAAAAAAGTGCAAATATTAATACTCAAAATTTTATTTCAAAGAACAGAATATTAAAATAGACATATATAAAAAAATTGGGATTGTGTTGAAGGTCCTTGCCATCGTTCCATATTTTGTTAATATTAAAAAATGTTGGCATTCACTATAAGCACACTTCATGGTAAAGATACAATCTACAGGTTTAAATAAATTGTCCATTGTTCATGATTGCAGTTGCTCCACATTTCTTAAAGATAATATTTTATAGTCTTGTATTTTCAAATTTTGGGAATTTTAAAAAAAAAGGTTTGGTACTTTTAGTCCACAATTGGAATTCTGAATTTCATAAACAAATGAGTGCTGTGAGATTTGTTGGCAAATGTCAACAAAAATAAATTTAGCACAGTGTCGTTGAAAGGCAGGAGTTCCCTCCTTCCAAAGGATCTTTGGACGTTTTGGATAAGAATGATTTCTAAACTATGGATATTATTAAAAGGATATCAAGCATGTTGAAAAATGCACATTTAGATAGAAAATCACTTCATATACATAAAATAACAACTAAGCATCATTTGGTTTATATTTCATTATAATACTGGTTTGAAAGATTGCTTTTGTGCCAGTGCCCCTTTCTGTAACAGTATCTAAATGAAAACAGGTTAAGCAGAATATTCAACTTCATCTATAAAAAACGTTTCATTGTCATGCGGAATTTGAGTGATGGAATTATGTGCGCTATATCTTGGTCTAGAAGATATCCTCCTTTGATAAAGAAACCAGAGAAATGCTGCAGAGATTGCCACAGTTATTGTTGATATTACAACTATGATGCTTGTCCAAGCAGTTTCTGAAACGACACAGAGATTACAAGAAAAGTACATAATTAATTAGACACGTTTTCTGCAATTGCAGATACTTTTCAGCTGTTTAACATTCTGATATTACTGGACCATTTCCCTGTTTGGCTTATGTGCAGCTTTTTATTTATCCAGTGAATCTTTTAAGATCTTTTAATTATACCTGGATTACTGAGAATCTCCATAGACTGTTACTAGCACTTAGACTTATATGTCGCTTCACAGTGCTTTACAGCCCTCTAAACGGTTTACAGAGTCAGCATATTGCCCCAACAATTTGGGTTCTCATTTTACCGACCTCGGAAGGATGAGTCAACGTTGAGCCCGTCAGGATCAAACTGCTGGCAGTGGGCAGAATTAGTCTGAAATACTGTATTCTAACCACTGCGCCACCACGGCTCTTGGATATAGCAGATACAGATCAATGGACCACAATCCTAGTTCTCTAGGATGAGGGGAATTACCTGAGATCATAAACAAATCTAGAAATGTTTTCTTTATACTTTGATGTTACCATGTCGCTTATTAATTCCTATATAGGTAGTCTTCGACTTAAAAAAAAAAAAGTTTCCCTAAAGGTTTCCCTGTCCCATCGTGTCTGACTAGGGGGCAGTGCTCATCTCTGTATCTTAGCCAAGGGAATCCACATTGTCCAAATATTACAACCATTCCATTTAGTGACCATTTGAGTTACAACGGCATTGAAAAAAATGACCTATGATCAGTTTTCACGCTTGGAACTGTTGCAGCATCCCCACAGTCATGTGATCAAAAGTTTGGGTGCTTGGCAACTGGCATGTATTTAAGACAGTTGCACTATCCCAGGGTCATGTGAGCACCATTTGTACCTTTCCTAAGCAGCTTCTGACAAGCAAAGTCAATAAGGGAAGCCAGATTTGCTTAATGACTGCATGATTCACTTAACAACTGTAGTGATTCACTTAACAACTGTGACAAAAAAGGCCATAATATGGAGCAAAACTCAACTGTTGCTTAGCAATGAAAATTTTGCATTCAGTTGTAAGTTAAGAACTACCTATATTACTTGGTCCTATGTATATGGTAAGTAACTTCTGCTGCTGAAGCATGTTTCATCAAGCTGTCTCAGATGCACACAAAACTATCTTCCTTATGCTCACATTTGCCATTTTGGAATGCACCGAGTACAATTTTATCCTTTTCTCCCTTTTATTAGTCTAATAAAAATTTCAATAAGCTTGAAAAATGGTTGAGTTACTGCCTTTACGCAGCTCTGATTTTCCATATCCTCCTGACCAATAGAGCTTCCAGTGGGCCTGTCCCTATGATATAAACAAATTCTCCAATATGTACCAGGCAAATGGCAACAAAAATGTGGGGAATCAGTGACATTTAACAGCAAATGGATATCTTTAATACAGCTTATTGCATATACAAATAGAGGACATAATGATAATTCCTTGCTTAGAAAAGGTCTATTAAAATCAGTGGAATGGATTAAATTAGTCCTGGCTAAATTACATTGATGGACCTGCTGTTAATTATATCCACACATGGAACCAATCCATGACAACTCAGTGTTATTTCCTGAAAAAGAAAACTGCTCTGAAATAAAAAGACATTATCTTAGCACTGTTTCATTACTAGACAATATACAAAAAAAGTGGATTACTCACCAAAGAAGCGTGTCTTTTCATAAAGAACTTTAGCAATATGGAGAGAGAAAATGAGAACATATTACTTTTTTAAATCTACATTTTACCCTCTCATAGAGGAGTAGTGAAAATAATTACTATCCAATAGTTGGCAATAAGCCACTTAGTGACCAAATAACAGTGATCAATATAAAAATCGAAAAACCTGTTCATTCAAAAGTGTGTGTATATGAATCTATTTGAGGAAGTAATTTCTGTGCGTGGATCTCCTGGGGAATGGAAATTGTGGCTGTAAATTAGATGGTTATTCAAATGCAGGTACAGTACTGTTCATCCACATGGGTCTACTGACTGCAGTTTGATTCTGGAACTAGCATAGTAAACCCAATACTATACCATATGACTGGAGTGTGAATAGGAAATGAATGAAATGTGGTTTGCATAATTTCTAAAAGGACAGATAACATCTTGCTTTCATTGTAATGAATTATATATTGATCATAGATTGAACACCATAATAATCAAGAGTATCCTCTAAAAAAATTCCCCAAGCAAGAATCCTTCCCCAGTCATTTTCCGCCCACAGAAAGGAAAACATAGCATTGCGCTGACAAGTGAGATATGACCTGGGGGTATATCACCACCGATAAGAATTTTGATAACAGGGAAGGTACAGTTTGTTTTCATTACGGGGCAATTATTGACCCAGTTAAAACTTTGGAAAACCTAGAATGTGAATAATTAGTCTTGGAAGTCTATTCGGTTTCAGAATAATTAGTCTTGAAGTCTATTCGGTTTCAGTGCTGGAATTGGGAGACAACCAAACCAATGTCTTATTAATCTTTGGCAGCTGCTTTCTTAAAAACAATGCTTATCCTAATATGCTTGCTGTAGGAATAATCAAAAGAATTTGTTTCCTGAATCTGGTAATGGGGGAAGACCTTTAGCAATAACCTACCAGAATTGTGACTTAAGCTCCTTAATAAGGAAGTATGTTGGTAATTTTTTTTGCATCTACCTTGTGTGTTCTGCCATGTGAAAAGCCCAAATAGCAAGATAAGAGTGTTATTTCCAGTTTGTCTTGAAGAATTCATTTGCATCATCTAATGTATCACAATTATACTGCATATATGACCAGTACTGTGATAAAACGACACTGGGATTAAGTTTAATGACTGTGATGACTGGTAATTGATGAAGGGCTCCAGAGTGTTTGGAAGAGGAAGTAAACATCAGGAGTTATCTACTTGAAAACCCTTCCACAGCCTGTGAAATTCCTCACCCATAATAGAAAACATCAATACTGTAGCATTTTTAAAGCAATGTTGTAGCATGGCTCTTACATACCAGTAGCTTCACACAGGATCTTAGTCAGTGGAAGATGTTCACAAGGCACTTTTTTCCATCCACCTGAAGCTGTATGCATAGTAGCACAAGTGTTTAGAAGTTCATTGTTACTTTCTTCCTCTATCCAGTTTGTAAAATTTACTTTGGAATCATCGTACCATTTGAAAATATCATCTGCAATACAATAGATGTAAATTTATTTTTGTCTGCTTCATAAACATGAGCCAAAGTAAAAGCCTACATTGACTTGGTCATTTGTTAATAAGTGGTTTTAATTTTACTTTAAAAAATTCAGTTTAGTTTAAATTGCAGCTTAAAGAGAAATGGCAGAAAGCTTTAGGGAGGTGTTTTTTTTTGCCCATTATCTTAAATACATGAGCCCTGGTACAATGATAGCCAGGGACAGACCTTTATGAATAGCAATTGTATCCTTGATCAATATCAGATAACACTTAACATTCCCTCCCGGTAAAAGTCACCCTATTTCACTTTTCTTGTGTCTGTCCCATTGAAGAGGCCTCAGCCACTGTGTTCCTTCTGCACTCCTGGTGGTGGTTGTTCTAGGCTTTGCATTCACAATTCTCTCTGAATTCCATAGGGCCCATTTTCCAAATCCAGAACAAGAGAGTTCTTTTAGAAATTACGTCTAGAAAACTTTATCTTAAGGAAGGAAGGAAGGATAGTTCTTAATGCAAATATAGTTCAAAAATCGAGAAAAGGTGGAGCCTGTTTCTAACAGGATTTGTTCACTTACCATCTGTGTCAAAAAACATGCCAAGAGATATGTATTCTGGACCATGCCAATTTGAATGAAAATTATTTTGAATAAAGGTATTTTCATCTTTGCTATTTATTGTAATAATATCTGCTCCGGAAGCTACATTTGAGAAATAAAGACAAAAAATTAAGGCTGAGTGTCAGTTCCTACGAATGGGAGTAAATGCTGCAGTTCATTTGGTATATTGTTAGCCTCGGTCATCCTAGCCATAGGGAAAGATGCATATAAACTGTGTAGGCAGCTTCAGTTCTTTTATTATACAGTTACTGACCTGTTTTTGGCTTCCAAAAACATCTAAACACACATGCATGCTGGTGCTGCATGACAGACAATGCCAAAAGAGTTTCCTAAAATAAACAGTCTGGAAAATTCTGGGGTAGAAATCAATGAAATAGCAGCTCTCTGTCTCCAGCATTAGATCAATGCACTTGGGAAAGTCTGCATTCCCCAGCAATAAAATGAAATTGAATGAGATCAACCATAGAAACCCAAGAGCTTTCCCAGCTGTACATCTGCAGGTCTGTATCCTGAGCAAATAATGTAACATGATCTGTTAACTACTCTGAGTAGTAACATTCTTCATAATTGCAAACAGACATTCAAAGATATTGAAAGGGTCCTCCCAGTTCCTGCTCCTAGTAGCTTCAGCTGATTGGTCTCAGTGCATCACATAAGGTTGGGATGAGATTGGACAGAGCAGAGCTGTCTTACCATTGCCTCGGCACAGCTCCCTGGCATCATCCATACCGTAGACCTCTGAGGATCCCTGAAGTAGAGCATAGCAGCTCTTTTGGAATGGAATCCAAGCAATGGAAGGGCAGGCTACACAAGGAAGAGAACATGAATGAGACCGTCTGTTTCTGTTGTCGGTCCCAGCTTCACAACATACAAATGAAATGACATGAGTTTCTCCAAATTTTTATACAGCATTCAAGACAAGTTGGGAACAGCCTAATCAGATCTGAAATAAATGAGATTAACTGCAATATTAAAAAAGCAGGCTGCTATCATTTTGGGGGTGGGGAGGGTGAAGTAGAGTTGTGTGACCTCCAGGCACTTATTTCTTTAGTGAAACAAATAGCTGCTAGAAAAGGGAAGGGTTTGATTGCAAAAAAAGTGAATCTTTCTTTCCCAGACCTAGCAACCCTAACCCAAAGCAACCTTTACTTTTTAGCTTTAAAGAACAATCTATAACTGTTCATTCTTGAGACTTCCCTTTGGATAAAATACACAAAACTTTTAACATTCATTGCAGCTATTTTGATTGTAGGTGTGTCTGTTTGCTTTTAATTGCACCATACTTTTCACATTCATTTTGAATCTGGTTTTCAATCAACACTACTATTTTGTAATCCTATTAATCTTGGTATTGAAAACTCTTTATCTTGTTTATTATATATAGCATTTAGATGCTTCCATCTCCAGAGTCACTTAGCAGATCTTGGCTGATCTTGAAGAATAAAGCAGGATCAAACTGGACAGGAAACCATTAAGAAATCAGGTCCCAGTTGGCCGGGAAAGTTGTAAAAGCACTACAAAAGAACCACGCCATTAGACTAGACTAGACTAGACTAGACTAGACTAGACTAGACTAGACTAGAATAGAATAGAATAGAATAGAATAGAATAGAATAGAATAGAATAGAATAGAATAGAATAG